ATATATATATATATATATATATATATATATATATATATATATATATACACATACACACACACACACACACACACACATATATATATATACACACACACATACATACATACACACACACACACACACACACACATACTGAGTGGATATGCTTAATATGTCTAATGAATGCCAATTAGATGGGTTGCAAAGAGTAATGTTAGAGTGATTTTAGGCCTTGCAGTCTAATTGCATTCCGTTTACTGCAAAAAATATATATATACTGAGTGGATATGCTTAATATGTCTAATGAATGCCAATGAGATGGAGTTTAGCATCACTAAAGGGTGCCATCTTACCCTGTGCCCAGTTGGCTGCAGATTGGAAGGCCAAAAAGAAGAAGAGAAAATTGGAATGGGGGGCTGGGGAGAAAGGTTGCATCTATTTCCTGGCTGGTTGGTTTCCTTTTCTCTTTAAAACAAAGACATCTTTTTATCTTCCTCTGCTTACAATGAGAATATATTTAGAACAGGTCTCATGTCATTCTCTGGCCAGACATATGGAAGAATGGCAAGATTGCTTAATTCCCTACCCCATATCCTTTGGGAAGATTTTTTTGAGAATGGGATTTCCCAACCTCCAAATTTTAACGGATCCAACAAATAAAAATCTGCAGTAGCCCTAAACAGGGGACATGATCCTATATTGAATTTTTTTTTTCTCCAGCAAAATGGTTGGTGCTCTTTTTCTCACGATGGTGTGGTTCTCGGATCAGTTCTGTAGTATCTTAGATGTTGCTTCAGGACCAGTGCAGCTTTGATTTGCAAAATCCTTTAAAGTAATTATTTATGAAATGACTGTGGTTTAACTTAGGTCAAGTTCATATACATGCCTGTGCCCTTTTTTTTGCTTTTCCTTGCAATGGTTGATGCCTGAATGTGCATATGTGCTGTATTATGAAACACTGTATTTGAGATATCATTGAGGGAAGCGTTCATGGTGGATCTTTGCACATCTTTCAACTATAGCCATTAGGTGAAAAACACACATGAGGAGCAGAAATTGTTTTTAAACAAAACTGAGGCACTCTTTCCCAGAAAGCTTAATTAAACCCTGACTCCCAAGGACCCCTTATTTATTTATTAATGTACCTACATATTTACTTAATATGTGTAGAACACCCACTCCCTTAAGGAATGGACACCATTATTCACATATGTTTCCAGAGTAAAGAGATATCTTGCCATAATCCATAAAATAAGCTGATTGTGGCATCAGTTTGTTAACTGTGAGCCTCCAACTTTTCAGTCTGTATGTATGTGAAAGATGCAGAAAGTGTATGCATGTTATTTGATGCAAGATGCACAACAGTGACAACACTATCAAAAGGAATTATTGAGATGTCCTTTTAACGAGTGTTGAATCCCTGTACTTCAACCATGATTGTAAATTATCTCACTGAAAATATATCTCCTTATAAGGCATTACTATGGCACAAATATAGGAAAGCGGTTTTCTACATTGTGAGCATTTGTGAACATAAACCCTTCCAAGACTGCATTCAAGATACTAACTATTTCAGAAGGGATGTGTTCAATAAACCAGAAAGTGGAAATATTTCATTAATGAGGTTTTTAACATCCAGAAAAGACTATCTCTAGGCTTATTTAAGGCTTTTTGTGCTATCATTTAAATGTAATTCATGTATAGATTGTAAGCTTTCAAGCAAGCTGATTTGCTATGGTTGATAATTTCAAAAATTCTATGACCACTGAAGAAAGGTGATACTTGGCACATTTTTTATAAGTTATTGGTCAAGTGTGAGTCTATCCCATGGTTATCAAGTTCTTGATTATAGTTCTTGGAATTGCATTATCTCTCTTTGTTTCATGGAACCTAGACAGAACTGCCTTATTCTAATTGAAACAGTGGTGTAATTAGCATTTCTTAGCCTGGAATCTGTTGGACTTTCTTCATGATTTTCAGTCAGCATAGTTCAAATTCTTATTGACCAGCAAAAATCTACATGTCATTTTGAAATAGATTTTTTTAAAGATGGCTTTCAGAGGCAATTTTTCAATAAATGTTAAGAAATATCCAACATTACCTGTTCCCCAAAATTGACCTGCATTGCTGCAGACTATACATGGTCAGCCTTGAAGATTTGGTCAAAGTGATAAAAAGACAGAATGCGGTCATGTGATTGTATTTTGGGCACTTGGCAACTAGTCCACATTTATGGTCAATTACACATCCCACAGTTATATGATTATGATTTATGGAGATTTTTTTCCCCAAAAAAGCTGGCATTTACTTCTAGTTTCTGAGGGAAAATGTCCACTTAATGATCATGGTGCTCATTTAACAAGTGCAATATTCACTTAACAACAGCCCCCAAAGGTCATAAAATAGGGCACAATCCCATAGTGACTTGCTTAATGACTTACTACTATAATTCAAGGCTTAATTACTCTCTCTCTCTCTTTCTCTCTCTCTCTCACACACACACACAGAGGGAGGGAGGGAGAGATGACATACTGACAAATCTCAAAAGTGATGCTATTATTATGGAGGCCATTTGGAGTGAAAAATTCATAAGTCGGATATTACCACTGAGAAGCTCTTTCTGTAATGAAACAGTAAGCTCGTCTTCCTTCACATACATGGTCCCAATCTAGCTCATATTTTCATATTAAAAAAAAATCAGAGAATCCAAAGCATGTTTCATAACTGAATTCCCCTGGGAAGTTGCAACGGCTGTGTCAAGTAAGTGCTTTTATAGCCCCTACCCATAGAAACAGGGCATTTAAGGTCATTTTACTGTTTTACTAGGACCTTTTAGGACTCCCCAAAGGGTGATTTCCCATTCCAGGAATGCTTGCCCAAAAATCTGAAGGCTGAGTCAGGTGAATGGACATGTGAGACCATTGTTCTGTCTTCCTGTGGAATCCCTTTGGTTAAGGAGTGTGCAACTGTTGCTTGTTTTGAGGGCAGGGTAGCGAATTCTTCTCAAATGCTCCCAATGTCCTTTGGGAAAGAGCCAAAGTAACTCCAGTTTGTGGATTACATTCACCAATGCACAACAGACATAAACACACACCTTGCTTCATGCAGTTTCATAAGCGATTGCAATTCCAGTGCCATGTTTTGTTCCTTCACCTTCAAAACAAGAGGTTTTATTATTTACCAGTTTTAAGGCGATAGCTGTTGGAGGTTGAATTACCACCATGGGTAGAGAAGCACTTTTGCAACCATCCGTCAGAAAGCATTGCCAACGTGCCAACAGAGAGGAGTTGTTACACTGTTAGCCTGCCAAAAGTTTAAAGAAGAACTTGACCTCGCATTCCTTCTGCACCCAGAACGCACCCTGAATGGAGAAACAATTACACACCCACATTGGAGAACAGAGAGCTTCACCTCTCCATGAACTGAATTAAGAGCATGCACAAAAAAATAACTTCATCAGGCTTGGAGGATAATTGAAAGATTTTTTTTTTTAAAAAAATCATAATCATGAGAATACAGTAATTTGTTCTTTAAAAGCTATGGTTTCTATTTTAATTTAATGTGGACCTTTAACTTATTGTACTCTTTTGTAGGTTTTGTTATACTTGTGGCCATAGTTACATTATCTGTTAGGCATAAAAGAATAACTTGAACCTGTGCCAATGCCAACCACTTTGAATGAGCTGTTTGCAAGCATGATCTAGCAAAGCTGCCACTCTGCATTCTTCTGTTGCCTAGATAGTTCTTTCTCCTTCGTTTAGTTGCAGAGTTCAATTTAGGAAGAAATGTCAAGAAGTACATTGCAAGTCCTGTATGAATATTTACATATTCTTTAAAATAGATCCTTGTGGTATACGCTTGGCCTTGGCAGTAATGAATCTATTGATTCATTATCAATGTCTCCAGTAAAAGATGCCAAATTCTGTCTGTAATTATATGGATAAGATGGAAACCTAAACTACTGAAATGAAAACAAGAATGTTAATGCATGCAATTCACTGCAGATTTATTATTTTATTATTGTTTCCTGGGAGGATTGAAAGAAATTTCCTAGATCCTCCTCACTTTTATGGGTTTGGCTATTGTAACCATGCCAAAGATAAATCAAACTTGTGATTAGTTGCTTGCCTGTTTGGCCCTCGGGCCCCAATTTGTGGATGCAAAATCGTGGACGTTTTGACAGAAATTTAAAGGGGAAAAACAGGAATCTTAAGACTTGCAGAAATACCCACTGTACCCCCTTGAAAAAATACCTTCAAAATGCAGATTGAACTTTCCTATTTGTTTTCTGAAAAGGATGAAGAAATCATTCTATAGTTCTAGCAGAAAGAAGGAAGAAAGGAGGACAGTTTTTTTTCAGCTTGGCGGAAATTATTAGAGAACACAAGATAGAATATTAGCAATATGCTTATAAAATGCTGTAAAATTTGTTAATCTTTATTATACCAAAGTGTATATGTGAATAAAATTTATTTTGTCTATAAACATAATCAGATTGTCAGTACTTTATCAGACCTATTTAATGTGATTGAAACGTAATAATGTTGGAGTAAATATTATCTAGATTAAGGTGGATGTACTCTCTCACTTGGGGTTTATACTGTCTTTTGAGTTTTAATCATTTTAATTCTGATTTTTCTATTTTAAAATGTATGTTTTTATACATGTATTGTTCTTTACCAATTATTGTACGACACCCAAAGTCACTTTTCATGAGATGGGTAGCTATATAAATTTAATAAATAAATAAAGGGATATTAATTGCACCAAATTGCAACACAGGTGCTTCTAACCCAATTGAAACATTTTGTAGGCACCTGTAACCTACAGTAAGACCAATTCTACCTTGCTGCTTATGTACTAAAATTATCTCTTATTCAGGACGTTTCAGATTTACTCACCTTCATTACAAAGGTAACAAAGTTTAAGAAATGATTGCTAACACGTCTCTCCTTTTTTTGCCTAGGGTTGTGATGCCGTTCATAAAGTCTATCCTTTTGATCTTGCCACCCGTGCAAGCTGTGTGGAAGAGCTTGACAGATGTTTTCATTGCACCAGTGTGTCACAGCATGGGACGGTGCTTTTCAGCAATCAACATACATCTGGACCAAGAGTGAACAATTTGGATCCAATGCTATTTTAGTCTTAAGTGCTATTAAAGTCTCCTTATTGGTATAATATAGGGACACTTAAGCATTCATTCCAAAGCTACTGCTGTTTAAAGGGAATGACATTTCCGCCCTTCAGCTGGGTTGCACATTTATGGGGGGCGCAAACTTTGCTTTGGGGACAGGGAAGACATACCAATATTGTAACTAAAAGATAACAAGTGATATTTAACAATGTTAAGGTAATGGTACTTCTAATGCTTGGTTTCCATAAATGTGTTGTGGATAACTAAGGAGGTCATCTTGCGGTGTATCAATCAAATTTTCATCTATTGTATTACTCAAAATCTCCTGGAAATCATTCTACCAATAGATTTGACATATTTATTGATGTTAGGCTATACAACTCTTAGAAATAAGAACAGAATGTAAAGGATTACTTTTCAAGAGTTTTCTTATTTGAATTCTGCTGGTCAGCATTTCTAGCCACACAAACAGCTAGGTCTGTTCGTATATAGATTCTATAATCTATCAGCTTCTTGAACTGTGTAACCTCTTAGGATACAGGTAGTCCTTGACTTACAACTACAATTGAGCCCAACATTTCTGTTACTAAGTGAAACATTGGTTAATTTTGCCTTTCTTGCCATAGTTGTTAAATGAATCACTGCAGTTGTTAAATTAGTGACATGGTTGTTAAGTGAATCTGGCTTCCCCACAAACGGTCACAAACTGTGATCACATGACCCCAGACACTGTAACTTTCATAAATATGAGTCAGTTGCCAAGCGTCTCAATTTGGATCACATGACCACAAAGATGCTGCAACGGTCATAAGAATGAAAAATGATCATGTCACTTTTTTCAGTGCCACTGTAACACTGAAGAGTCACTAAATGAACCATTGTCAGTCGAGGACTACCTGTAATTCATATTTCAAGCACTGACAGTTTCCCAAACCCATGGATTTCCAACACAATAAGACTTAAAACCTGGTAGAATCCATGCACTTTCACCTTCCGTGAATACTAAAGGTGAAATTTCGATGGTTGCTTAGAGAGCAGCAGGTCAGAAATATTTATAGTACAACACAAGCAAAAACAGTTTACGTGGGCACAGCCATTTGAGAAACTTAATACAATATTGCCTGCAAGTCATTGGGGACCCTTTCCCCTGTTTTTAATGCTTAAAAATATTTTGGAACATATATACAGCTGTGCAAATTTCAAAATAACAGAAGAATTCATGCAATCGTGTTTTTTTTCTTTGCATGAATGTGTATAGGAAAGATCTTGCAGAACTTCTGAATTAGAATAAATAACCAGGTATATGCCTCATGGGAGGAGGGAGGTTATAAGGGGATATCTTTTAAGAGGATTTGAGCGTTTCCAAAATTCTGTAAAAAGTTGTGAATTCAAAAGAGTTGTATAGCAAGTAGACAGAAAGCTTAACAGATAAAGGATACTGGCTGAATACTTTTTGTACAGCTCTGTGGATATTCCTAAGTACGGTATCAGAAGAAAAACAAAACCTTCCCAAATCCACTGTTTAAAATGAGATGTTGATCTGAGAGGAGAGATTATGCTATATTTAATTAAACTTTTTTTTTTTGTATATATTGTGTTTTGTATGTAAATGACAAAGTAAAAGGTTATCTTGAAGTATTCTTCTGATCTTGCCAAATGGTTATTCTAAAAACATGGACTACTTCAGCCAGTGGTCTGCTCTAGAGATCTGCCTTGCATGGAAAGACAATTTCACGCATGCAAGATAGAAAGAGCAGGCCGTCCAATGAGGTTGAATTCTATACAAAGAACCAAGCGTGGCACTTAACTGTGCCTGGAAACTAAGCATCTCACATAGAACTAAAAAATTTGTAGATACTCCTTTCTACACTAGGATGTGCAGATACTTAATCTACAAGCAGTGCTCTTACTTTGTGCAATATTTATATACATTTTAAACACAGAGATGTTCAATTAGCTGTATTAATCAAAGAGCCTTTGATTAAGTTATATAAAACTTCCATTGCAATGTACAGGCTCAATTCAAAACACACACAAGACTCGTGTAATTTACCTTTAATGCTTCAAACAACCTAGGCAACAATTCTATAGTATTTATTTTAAAGACTTTTATTAAAGTGGTTGATACAACATTCAATTTTTTCTGTCTTTATGGTGGAATATAAATATTGTACTTCTCATAATAAATATATTACTGGTATAGAGCTAGAAGGATGTTCTCTTGCAAAGAACATTTATTTAGTTAAAATTTATTATAGTCATAGACAAACATTGCAGAAATAGGTATGTCAATTCAATTGCCAAGTGGATTCACTTTTAACAAAGTTAAAAAGCGATATAATGCCCATGACCACCCTTACTGAAGTATCAATGGAATGCTGGGCATCTGCCAAGATCCTTTTTACATCTGACTTAAAAGAAAACAAGAAAGTGAATGGTTGGGAGAAAAAGACAAAATTTACAAAGTTTCATTTTAATGTATGCCAATTAGTATACAGTTAGTATACAGTTAGTATACAGTTACAAAGTTATTCTAAGTCTAAGACAGCGAAATATAGTAGGATAGGCCAGTCCATGCTGCGCTTAGCATATATATAATACTCGGATACTGCTATTGTGTCACCCCTAATTCTTCTTTTCTCTAGACTGGCCTTACCCAATTCCAAAACATTATTCACGTGTTTTTTTGTCCAGGCCTTTAATCATCTTAGTTGCTCTTCTTTGCACTTTTTCCAAAGTCTCAACCGCAGTTTTGTAATGAGGTGACCAAAACTAGATGCAGTATACTACAGGTGTAGCCTTAATACTAAGGCTTTATAGAGCGGTACTAATACTTTATGCGGTTTTGATCCTATGCTTCTGTTTATACAACCAAGGATTTTATTAGCTTTTTTGGCTACTGCTACACACTATTGTCTAAGTGGTCATCCATTAGGGCTCCAAGATCCCTCTCATATTTACTGTTGTTTGAGCCAGTAAACTCTGTACTTGTTCCTTTGGTTTTTCCTGCCTAGGTGTAAAACTTTGCTTTTCTCCACATTAAATTTCATGTTAATGGATAGGGCCCATTGTTCAAGTCTGTCAAGATCTTTTTGGATCCTGAGCTTGTCTTCTGGGCTGTTTGCTATTCCTGCCAGTTTAGTGTCATCTGCTAATTGGATGAGTTCTCCTTTTATAGTATAGTATAATATAGCATAGCATAGCATAGCATACATAGCATAGCATAGCATAGTTATAGCATAGTGTGTGTGTGTGTGTATATATATGTATATGTATGTGTATATATATATATGTATGTATGTATGTATGGCATTCAGCTTTGTTCGGGTATTTTCCCACGTCATAGTAGTGCTTTTAAAGTTGTAGCAACGTTTCAGCAGAATCTCATCTGCCATCATCAGGCTTTTGTATAGTGTATATACAAAATATATTAAAAATATAAATATATTAAATATATTAAAAATATAAAAAATAGTGTACTATACAAAAGCCTGATGATGGCAGATGAGATTCTGCTGAAACGTTGCTACAACTTTAAAAGCACCACTACTATGACGCGGGAAAATACCCGAACAAAGCTGAATGCCATACATGTAAGTACCCGCGAAAACTTAAGAATATATATATATATATATATATATATATATATATATATATATATATACACACACACACACACACACACACATTAAGTGATTTACCCTTGCCTTTCATGGCACATCAAATTGGTGCTTGAGCAAGAATAATTGGGCAAAAGGGCTATGGTTCTAGAAAAAAGCAATTTGTGTGGGTATCACAAAGCAGTGTATCACAAGATCAGTGTTATTCATACACTGAAAAAAAAAAACAACCCGTAGAGAATGTTTTAAAAGGCTTTGGAAAATCAATCAGATTGGGTGTGACCTCCAGGTCTAATATAGATGTGAAATGTGGAGTAATTTGTATTTTCAAAGTCCTTTTAATGAGATTATAAAGGTCTCATTAACTGCAATAGAATATTTTATTTATATATTCAACAAAGCAGACACCAAGTGAAGTTAAATTTTTAACACAGGACATTTATATCCTATCCATCCTCTCTGTGTGTTCGAATAATGCATATCACCTTCTTTGGTTTCTGGGATAATAATTTGGGAAATGATGACAAGTCTTCAGAATCATCCCTTTCTGTCAAACTGTCGCAGACTCACTGTCATGATACAAAATGAGACATCATCCCTTCAAGGAAACTGGAAAAAAAAATATTAAAAAAATATCAAATGTTGGTATCGTTTCTACTTACAGCCCTCTGAATGTTGCTGGACTACAATTCCATCAACCTCAGCTAGCATAGACTACAGTGGGGAATTATGGGAGATGAAGTTCAGCAATATCTTATACATTCTTCCAATCCTTTGGGGCACTAAAACATGACTGAGAGTGACGCTTTCCTACAGCATGGTGGCAATGGAAAGAGATCAGGAGAAATATGGGCACCTGGTAGGTACAAAATATGTCAGTGTGATTGTTGCTCTTTCAACAACTATTGACAGGTTGCACAGGCTGGGAATCATTTAGCTGGAGCAGAAGGACACTTTTGACTTAGCCAATGTTGCCGGCCCCTTCCTGTCCATCGTTTTACTGATGCACTTGGCAACATGCCACGCAAGGAATCTGATAATGTAGCTTCTTTCCAAATCTTTCATGCAATCAGTTGACTTGACGGAGTTTCTGATTTCTCAGTAAGGTACCCTTTAACAATATCAAGTGAAAGTGAAGTTTATTTCTGGGTTTATTTTATTTGCTCCTAATAGAATAACTGGATTAGCTAGGAAAGCACCCTGCAGCAAACAGAATGGAAAATGGAAATGGAGTGCCACTATTCCCTTCATACGTTTGTTTTTTCCCCTTATTTGAACCTCTTCATTTAATTACTAGCCGGATCCAGTATTTTCTGTGTTCTAATTTAGCATTAATTTATTAGCCATACCCGGCTGCTGAAAGAATGGTATTCACCAGAGAAAAGCTTGGAGGGAGGAATCTGTAAGTGATTTTGTTAAGTCTTTTTCTAGGGAATTCTTTGACTTCCAGTCTACCTTACTCTTCTGATATTACTTGGTGGTCTCCCATCCAACGTAACCAGTGCTAATTCTGCTCTATCTCCAAAGCCCAGACAGGGTAATCTAGAATCTATTGTATGTTGCAGCTTTATCTAGAAAATCAAGTGCTATTTGGACTTCTATTAAGATCCTGACCCCCAAAATGCTTGCCACACCCTGTCTACAGGATTCCTAGACCCACATCACTGTTAACGGGACTATCTTCTAAGTGAATGGTGATGTAGAAATGTGATAAGCAAATGAACAAATATGGCATCTCATGACTCTCTTGTGTTATCTAGTAGACAAAACCATTCTGTTAACTGCATGACTCTTGATGCCACAGCAGTTAAGAGTGCAGTACTATAGGCTACTTCTGCTGACTGTTGGCTGCCTGCAATTTGGCAGTTCAAATCTCACCAGGCTCAAGGTTGACTCAGATTTCCATCCTTCCAAGGTGGGTAAAAGGAGGACCCAAATTCTTGGGGCAGTATTCTGACTCTGTAAACCACTTAGAGAGGGCTGTAAAACACTGTGAAGCAGTATATAAGTCTAAGTGCTATTGCTATCTCACAACTCTGTGCAA